TACCGCACACAATGGCACGTGTGGGGCACCACTAGGAGCCCGCCCACCGCGTTCCTGCCAGCCCTCCCTGCATGCCCTCGCCTGCCCCTGACCGGTCCAGCTTACCGTGATCACTTCTGCCCACTACCCCACCTCCTGTCTGTCCTATTGCTTGGAAACGAATCACGTGCTGCTTCTATATGTTTGTATGGGTCGCTTGAACAATTATTACTTGAATTATTTTACTTTTTACCAAAACATTTATTTTGAAACAACTGAAACATATAGAACAGCTGTCGGCCCAGTAAAAACAGTGACCAATCATCCCCGTTTGCCTGGGGCAGAGAGGGTTCCCAAACACAGGACTGTCCATGCCAAAACTGGGACTGTCCCAAGCACACCAGAGTGGTTGGTTACTTCAAGTTCAAAGACATTTTCTCCCTGACAGTAAGCTGCCAACCTGATGAATACTTTAGTGTAGATTTTCTATGAGCAAGAACATTTTCCGTCATAACTTACAATAGTACCATCAAAAGCAGGAAAGTAACAGTGATACATTATGATTCTCTTATTCTTAGACCCCATTCACGTGTAGCAACTGTCCCAACAATGTCCTTTCTAACAAAGAGATTCACTTCTGATTCACACCTTGCATTTAGTTCTCATGTTTCTCTGGTGTCCTTCAATCTGGAACAGTTCCTCAGTCTTTCCTTGGCTTCAGTGAGGTTTTTAGGTAGCCACAGTTGGTCTCTCTGATTATCAACAGTCCAAGTTCCTTTGGGACACATGTTATATTCTATGATAGTGTATGCTATGATAGAGCACCAAGAACATGTTTATCCTTGTGGAAGTTGCCCCATAAATAACTGGTCAACCAACAGGAGCCCGCAGGTGAAGTAGCCACAAATCTACTAGGGTACTGAACTAATTGTTCTCAGCAACAACTGAAACTCCCTAATAGCCTGGTGGTCCCACACGAGCAGAGCCAAAGAATGGAAAGTCTGTCTGTCTGTCTCTCTCTCTCCCTCAGTCCCTCAACCCTCTCCATTCTCTTTAGAAGTCAAGAACATATTCATTCTAGGCTGGCCCCACAAGCCCTAGCAGCACTGGACTAACCCATCAAGGAGTGAGATACTGGGACTATGGAAGTGAGTCGGAAGGGTATTTACAGTCTCAACTTTTCACCCATTTCTAATTACGTTGCGTATTGCCTTGCATTGACCTTATTTTTGTCATGATGCCGATGAGAGCATCATTAGGGCCACAGTGGGATAAAGAGGACTTGGCTCTTGCCGAGGCCAGTGGTGCCCGTCACTTGTTAGAGATGGACACTCAGATCTGCAGACAGGAGGACCACAGCTGTGCCCACAGGCAGTAGTGGCCGAGTTCCAAAGGAACCTGTGGATTCTGGAAGCCCAGTGCTCTTTCCACAGTCTTTTGACCGTAAGCAATGACGGCATGAAGACCACTGACAGGAAGTTATATGCCAATTATATCAGAAATCCAGAAACCAGTAACTTAAATGGAAATAAAAAAAGACCCTTGGGTGTGGTGACATCTATCTGTCTCTGTATCTAGTTCATGGTCAGTCCAGGCGATCTATGGACAACCTTGTAATCGCAATAACAATAATTGCTAACACATGACACTTAATGGTTTGAAAATAGAGGCCCAGAGAGGCTAAGTGACTTGCCCAAGGTCACACAGCTCATAGGTGGGAGGGCCAGAGTTCTTGCTCTTAACTCTCGGATTATACTACCTCCCCCCACTTAATTACTCAGTTGGCTCTGCATTGACATAACCAACGAATAGCCCAAATTGACAGGTGATTAATGCAAATACAAGCAGACTGGTCTGCCCATGGAAAAGAAAACATCTGAGGTTAAATAGAAAAAAACAAATTTTTTAAAATCACGGCTGGCTATGACTTCAGGGCTGGCAGTGCCGTCTATGCAGATAACAGATGTCTAGTTAATAGGTGTGTTTCTCATTCGTTGGTAAACATGCTTTCTTTCTAGACCTCAGAGCTTCATTGTTTCAATATGAGTTCCAGCAATCCACTGAAATCTTTCAAGAATTCAGCCTACTGCCCAGCCCCTCTACGGACTGCAGTCTGCATGTGTCACCTACGGGCATAAGAGGATGCTGATTTTCTCCAGGGCAGCCAACAGGATTGCTTAACTGACTGCCATCCCTAAAGCCCCAGGACGCAGAGCGGAAGGAAGTCGAGGCACAGGCAGGGAGGGGACGGTTAGCCCAAAAACTGGCAACATTAAGAGAGCCAGCAGAGGGGAATAAAGGAAATGGCAACCAAATGGGAGAGAAGAAAATAAAAATGTTAACCATATTAAGTTAACAGCTGGGAAAAGTGGGAGAGTGTATCAGTTACAGACTGGAAACAGAGCTTGGCTTTCACCTCAAGCCAAACCACGTGCACCCTGATAAATGATTAGAACGCACAAGATAATCTTCTAGGAAGATAAAGCTGGAAACACAACACAAACTTTAAGGGCACTATCTACTCCACAGCAAATCTCCTCCCCACAAATCCATCAGAACCCACTGCTTTGTTTCTGGTGCTTACACAATACCTTCTTAGTTTAAAATAAAACAAAATAACCTGCAATTCCATCTCAGGCCAGCCTGTGGTGGAAGGAGATGATAGAGAAAATGCTTTTATTCCCAGCCTGTATTTTCATGTGAAGTTTCAGGATTGTCAAAGCCAGGACCCAAGTGAAACAACAGTAAAGGAGAGGCTTTCCCCTGGCCTCAGCGTTTTGCTATTATTTATATGCTTTCTCTCTCTCAGCGTGGTGCTCATTGACTGGCTAAAGAATAACACAACCACAATCAAGCTTTCACTTTCCAGTTTTCACTTAGAAAAATATTTCTACCTTCCCCTTGGCCACTACTACGTCATTCTAGATGCTCCGGCAGGCAGTGTGGTATGTGGGAAAACTGCGGATTTGGGGTTCTGGCAAACAATCTAGAGTTTAAATCCTAGCTCCATAAATCAGTGTCTCTTAGTCCTAGTTTCTTCATTCATTAAAAAAAAAAAAGGGCAGAAAAACAGTTACCTCCCTATCTCATGGTGCAGAAATTAATGGGGGATATTTACCCCAGGTGTCTGGCCCAGAAAAGGTAATTATAAAGTTCAGTTATATTTCCTGCTCCTCTTAATTCATAGAAGCACTCATTTTCTTTGTTCTTTATTCATTTGTCAAACTTTCCTGGGAGTCTTCTGGAGGACAGATACAGCACTTACTCAAATGGATGTGGTTGTCTCTGCCCCAATAAAATTATAGTAAAGGGCGGGTAGGGGCAGCAATGAAACAGCTCACTTGCTTAAAGTAATGAGGGGGTGGGGCTTCAACAAAGCTCCATTAGGTCCAAAGAAAATGAACTTAAATTCAGAGTACTGAGTGTGAGCTCATAAGCCACACCCCTGGTGGGTTTAATTCTGGACTCCACCCATGGACAAGTTTCTGAAATTCTCTGTGTTTCCCTTTTGTTGCAGGGTTCTTGTCTCATAGAGTGGAAGAATGAATGTCACAGACCAAAGGATGAAGTGAAGTGAAAATTTATTAAGTGAAGGTAAGAACAGAAAGCAAAGGAAAGGAGCTCTCTAGATTGGGAGTCCCAAACAGATTGTCCCATGAGGGTTTTTATAGAGGGTCAATCTTTTATAGAAAATTGACCAGGGCACTTGGTAAATATCTTGTTTATAACATTAACAACAAACAAGGTGGATTTGTTATGTTCCCTTCTCTCTGGTTAATATCTTGTCTATAACATTTCTCCACATCTGGGATTTCTGTGAGCCAGGTTACTAAGCCCCTGCCTAAGCCTAGTCACATATCCCCTACCTGTCTCTTCCCACCTAGCCCCACCTGTCCTTACTCTCATCTTTGCTAAACTGGAGATAATAATTCCCCCCTGGGTTACTGAGAAAAATAAAACAACACCCCTCCCTAGAGTTCCCCACTTCTCTGTGGCACTCACTCTGTAAATCTACTGGTTTCCTGAGATGCCTAGATTTCCATGTAGCCTCCAGGCATCTCGAACTGCCCCAAAGCAGCATTTCAGAGATGGTCCAGTGGTCATTATCAATAACCAAAAATAAAAGCTGACACCCAACCCCCCCAGCCCCCAGCCCCAGGACCGGACCAGCTGAAATGTGCAGACCAGCTAGCCACCTGTGGCAGCTTTTAAAGGTTTAGCTCAGATCTAAAGTTTGACAACAGAAAACCCAGCACTTGAAGCTATGGCCCTCTCCTAAGGGAAGCTGACTGGAATGAGCTGGGGCTCATTGATTAGAATTACCAGGCTCAACCCAGATGTAGCTGATTTCACAATTTTCATTCCCACCTTGCTGCCCTGAGAACCTGACCTCCGCCATCTGGTTCAGCTGAGGCAGCAGCCCTTGAAAAGAAAGGCAGGATTTAAAGGGACAGGAAGTCCAAGGTCTGGGAATCTCCTGGGTGTGGCTTGTTACTGGCACAAATGCATAAGCCACATGCCTGAGTGTCCTCGTGCATCACAGGAGGACCGTGCAAAGATAAATCGCTAAGGCAAGTAGAAATCCCAGATTCTCGCAGCCAGGGGGGTCAGTCTATCCCAAGCATTTGAATTGAAGGTGAAATGTTACATAAAGGTACTAGGAAAGCATGTATTCCTCTTCTCCCCCAACCACCCCTCCCAACAAAAACAAAAAACTCTTAAAGCTTATTTTAAATAAGAATGGGCACAAAAATACTCAAATCAATAACAATAGTAGTAATAATAATAATAAGTTACTTCTTAGCCTGACTGTCCTGGACCAGAATCTCCTTCTCTAGGGTGGTGGGCGCTGGGACAGACAGGTGGAATCCGACAAGGTCCTAAGGAAGCAGCACCCTGCGCGGCCTGGGTCGCCATGGAAACCGCGGCGGCGGGGCGGATCAGCGGCAGGTGGGAGGGTCGGGCAGGGGCTGCCGGGAGCCACAGAGGGAAGAAAGCTACTGACTTCTGGATTCCCTTGATCCTCAAGCGCTGGGCCTCTCCCCGGGAGCCGGAAACAGAAAGTTGCTTCCCAACTCTGAATGTCTGAATCTCCCAGATGATCCGAATCAGCGGATTAGAAACCAGAATCACACTGGTTAGAAACCCAGACTCCGGATATCCTTCCACTCCTGGCCAGCTAAGTCAAAATCTCCGCACCGAGACCCGGAATCTGGATTTAACCAGGTGCTAAATAGGGTGGGGAGGCTGGGAAACACTGGGTTCGCCCGTTCTTTTCTCTCAACACCCCCCCCACACACACACACACCACCTCGTAGTGGTAAAAGAATCTGCACCCAGTTTCCTCACCAGAGGCTCTCAAGCTTGGGGGAGTCCTGGGAGTTGGAAGTGCAGAGCCCATTCAGTTCCTTGAACTAAGCTGTTTGGAAGCGTCGCTGCTCTTTGTGGGTTTCCCACTTGGGGGCAGCCTCGTCCTTTGCTCCTGTTCGTTCCGCGCAACAGGGGCCCACGTGTTTATTCCAGTTTATTTCTGCTGCAGTCTCGTTAATATAAGCTGTTCCAGAAAGCGGAGTTTGGATGCAGAGAGATGTGTCTCCTTAGGAGGAATAGGGCAGTAGCAGAGCGTGGTGCTCTAAATGTGTGAAGCTCTTCGATTGCTGGTTTACATGTAGGGTTCAGAACGAAGAATCTACGCTTATAAAGCAATGTTCTCGTTGAAAATAATGCACGTACTCTGGACGACAGATTTCTCAACTCCTTGAGCCCTGTCTTTTATTGGACAATCGAATGGGGACCTCAGGATTGATGCAGACAGCCAGACCTGGGCCTGGACTCTGGGCAACCATGGGCCTCACCTGCCTGCTTTCAGGAAGCAGCATGGTGGTGAAATGGGAGAAGGGCGGCTCGCTTCTGCACAAACGGGGATCCGCATAGTGTAATCCTCCCTGAGGGCAAATACGGGACCTGTAAGATTTGCAGAAGTCTGGGGAGGCTCAGCTCAATAGAGTGGGATAATCTATAGGCCTCTAGTAGCCTGTGCATTTACCATACCATAACCCGTTTATGGATCTGACTTCTGTGTTCTATGCGTGGCATATAAAGTCAGATTGTTCTAAATTAGCTTAGAATGTACTTCCTCCAATTCAAACTTCCAAATCGGAACTATTGGTAAATGAGTGTGAGGGGACTGGGATGATTAAGGCCAACTGGGAAGACCACAAATGTCCCTTGGGATAATAAAAGGAAAGGGGCTTTCCTGAGCTAGTGTATTATCATTTCTCAAGATAAAGCTACAACAATGCAGCATTTATTTCCCATGGTACCTTTTTTCTAAGAATGACTTGCAGAGCAACTGTGCTTGCAGAACACGCTTTGGGCAACACAACTAGGGGAACCGTGTGACCTCCCCGCAAAGTTTGTGTAAGGTGGGATGGTAAAGAGCTGTTGGACACTTCAGCCTGGCAATGGCAAAATAGATTAGGGCTGCCTTCCAGGAGAGAGATGGGAGCAGTCATTTGAAAGGGGATAAAGAATTAAATTGCTGGGGGACACGCTAATGGGTATGTTTCAGGCACTTGATATTTTTTATTCCTTGCAACCACTCTCTGAGATATCAGTCTATCCTCATTTTAGAGACAAACTGACACAAGTTACTCCAAAACCGTATCCAACCTCAAATAGGCAGGAAGTGATAGGGCTGATATTCGGAGTCAGATCTTCCTTAGTACATGGCAGAACCCAGCCTAGGACCACGGGAGCCCGCCAGACTTGAGCAGAACAACAAGGTTTTATATATGGTTAGGAAAAATTAGAAAATTCGCTGGAATAACATCAAAACAGTGACATTCATCAGCGACTAACAGAATTTTCGTAGAGTCAGAGTGGAGAGTCAAGTTTGACTTTGAATTTCCTGGTTTCATTGAGTGGGAGAAGGTAATGCCATTAGGCTTAGCAATGGAAGAATCAGGATTTTTTATTATAAATTTTTGTTTTGTTTTGCTTTTTCAAAATTTCTTTTTAGGGAGGGACAGGGAGATAGAGAATGCACAGGGGGTGGGGAGGGGCAGAAGGGAAGGAGAGAGAATCCCAAGCCAATTTCTACCCCCCAGAGTGGAGCCTGGCTTGATCTCAGGACCTATGAGATTAAGACCTGAGTGGAAATCAAGAGTCCGACGCTAAACCGACCGAGCCACCCAGGCGCCCTTTGTTTCGCTTTTTCAATCTTGTTTTGGTGGAAAGAGAATAAGTTAGCCTTGGCTAGAATGAACCCAAACCCAAAGAACCTGTGGGATATTTAGGTGAACCAAACTCAGGTGTGAAATTGGATCCTGATTCTGGATTATACTAATTTGGATCTCAGATGCTACTGAAAATTATGGGCACAATAGTATCAGCTGCAGAGAAAATGTTTGGGGGGGAGGACAGACATGTTTCAGGGTACCTGAGGAAAGATTCTGAAGGTGACACAAATAGGCCTTTAAACTTTTTCTCCGTTTCCGATCTTTTCTGCCATGCTCTACACAGACACAAAGCAAAAGCTATTTTATCTGCAAAATAGAGAATCTACATGGCAGAAATACAGAGGGATTTCTTCATGCGAAGACTCAGTTTCTAGAAAGCATTATGACTTTTTAGAAGCCTAAGAAATCTGTCTCATGTTTCAGGTTCGCAGTCAAAGAAAGGCTGAATCCCTGAAGTGAATGAATCAGAAGTTAAAAATAACATAAAAGTCTCCGTTGAGCCTGCTCTTAAATGTTTGCTGTCATGTGTGTTCCTGCAGGGCTCCTATGGAAGGCCTGTTTAAGCACAACAGAGATGCTTTCTGGAGCTCGGGAGGCTGCCAGGTCAGCTGGTATGGCGTTCCTGCTGGAGGGCTCCTCCTATCCTCCGGCTCATCCCGAATGTCTTTCGGTCCGCAGAGTTAGCCAGACTCAAAGCACACATTTCCGGGGAGAGAGAGCGAGTTAGCCAGCAGTCCACGTCACTGTGTGAAACCGAGTAAGAAGTGCAGCTGAAACAGGAGGATCAAAGATTAGAAGCTGGCCAAGGCTCACACGCTCCGCTGCTGAAAGAAAGGGCCCGGGGCTTGCTGCTTTCATGTGTGCTTACGATGATTAGCACGTATCAGAAAAGACCTGTCAGCTCTTAGGCTTCAATAACTCTTTGATAACACGCAGGACCCCATGTTCAAAAAGAAGTTTATTCCCAAAGTCATTTGTATGTCAGCTGTTTGAACCTGAAAATGCTTGATTCTCAGGACGGGTCCTCTAAATTCTTTACCCTTGTAGGCATTCATTCATTCTGTGGTCACCAGCGGATATTTAATAAGCTCCTTACCGTGTGCCCAAGAGAGTGTGCAACCTATAGCAGTGAACAAGCAGACAAAAATTCTAGCTATCATGGAGCTTATATTCTATATGGGAGGGGACAGACAATAAATACATGAGAAATATATAAGAAAAGCATGTTGTATATGAAATGGTGAGCAATGCAAAAGAGAAAAGGCAAGCGGGGATGGGGATAAGAAGTGTTGGGGCAAAAAAAAAAAAAAGCGTTGGGGCATGTGGCCTCATTGAAAAGGGGACCTTCAAGCACGGACCTCAGCAATTGGAGAAGTTAATTGTGCAGTATGTGGAGGATTGGCATCCAGGGCTGAGGGGAAAGCAAGTGCAAAGGCCCTGTGGTGCGTGTGAGGTGCATGTGGAGCATGACGGCATGTTTGAAGAGCAGAAAGGAGGCAGTGTGGCTGGAGCGGGCTGAGCAGGTAGGAGAGTAATAGGAGGTGAGGTCAGAGAAGCAGTAGGGAGCCCAGCTTCACGGAGCCTTGTATTCCTCTGACTTTTTCTCTGAGATATGAGGCTGTTGGAGGGTTTTGAGAAGAAGAATGGTATGATCTGACCTCTTAAAATATTGAGATATAATTCACATACCCTTAAATTCACCCATTCAAATATACAGTTCAGTGCTTTTAGTCTATTCAGAGTTGTGCAACCCTGAGCACTATATAATTACTAAACATTTTCATCCAACCAAAAGAAGCTCTTGTACCTATTAGCAGTCACTCCCCATCCTCCCCTCCCCCAAGTCCCTAGAAGTGACTAACCTGTTTTCATCTCTATGAATTGCCAATTCTGGACGTCTCACAAAATTAAATCATGTAATGTATGGACTCGTGTCTGGTTTTTCTTTCACTTGGCATATTTTCAGGATTCATTCGTGGTGTACCATGCATCAGTACCTTAGTCTTTTTCGTATTTGAATGATGTGCCTTTAGATGGCTATACCACGTCTGTTTCTTCATTCCTCAGTTGATGAACATTTGAGTACTTTCCACTTTAGAGCTGTTACAAATAATACTATTATAAATACTCGTGCAGATGTATAGATTTTTTATGTGTGAACATGTTTTTAATTCTCTTGGGCATGGACCTAGGAGTGCAATTGCTGGGTTATATGGTAACTGTATGTTTAACTTTTTGAGGAACTTGCCAAACTTTTTCAGAGCAGTGTACTTCAGCAATGCATAAGGGTTCCGATTTCTCCATATTCTCACCATCTGTTTTTTTGTTTTGTTTTGTTTTGTTTACTAGCCATCCTAGTGGGTGTGTGGTGGTATTGCATTTTGTTTTTGATTTTCATTTCCTAAAGACTAATGATGCTGAGCATCTTTTCATGTGCTTATTAGATACTTGTACTTCTTCTTTGGAAAAATATTCACATCTGTTAACCTAAAATCGGGTTATTTGTGGTTTTTTTGTTGAGGTAAAATGCTTCATATATTTTAGAGACTAGATTCTTATCACTTGTATGATTTGAAAATATTTTCTCCCATTTTGTGGATTGTCTCTTTTACTTTCTGGATGGTGTCCTTTGAAGCATAAAAGTGTTTAATTTTGATGAGTTCCAATTTATCCATTTTTTATTTTGTTGGTAATGCATTTAGTGTTATATTTAAAAACCAGTGCCTAATTCAAGGTCACTAAGATTTATGCCTATGTTTTCTTTTTAGAGTTTTATGGTTTTGGCTCTTATATCTAGGTCTTTGATCCATTTTGAGTTATTTTTAATTTTTTTTTTTTACATGCTGTGAGGAATGGGTCCAACTTCATTATTTTGTATGTGAATATCCAGTGGTCCTAGAACCATTTGTCAAAGACTCTTCTTTTCCCCTTTAAATTGTCTGGGTACCCTTTTTGAAAATCTGTTGTCCATAAATGTATGGGTTT